GTGTGTGTGGGTGTGTGTGTGTGTGTGTGTGTGTGTGTGTGTGTGTGTGTGTGTGTGTGTGTGTGTGTGTGTGTGTGTGTGTGTGTGTGTGTGTGTGTGTGTGTGTGTGTGTGTGTGTGTGTGTGTGTGTGTGTGTGTGTGTGTGTGTGTGTGTGTGTGTGTGTGTGTGTGTGTGTGTGTGTGTGTGTGTGTGTGTGTGTGTGTGTGTGTGTGTGTGTGTGTGTGTGTGTGTGTGTGTGTGTGTGTGTGTGTGTGTGTGTGTGTGTGTGTTTGGATCCAGTGCTCAGTTATGTGGTTGGAAAACCCTAAGTCACACAATTACACGTGGGTGCACAGACGTACGTACATACACACACGCACGTGTGTGGTCAAAACCCAAACAGGATTCTCCCACGCTCACTAACCCCACAGGAACGCCAACGACCCACTCTCCCACCCAACAAACACAACCCCCAACCCCCCGCACCCGTACAGTCCAACACGGGCAACCACAAGAACACCCTCCCCAAACCCCAATAGCTCTAACAGGCTCCCCAGAAAGACAGACAGACAGATAGACAGACAGACAGACAGACAAACACCTACCCACCTTGTTCCCAAGCGCCGCATCCCCGGATGGCCACATCTGTGCAAACACAGCGCCGTACGCCTCGTGCAGCCCCCCCGGGACTCGCGCCAGGGGGGCCTTCAGCAGCGCTACCACCGGGTAATAAACCAGGGAGGCTTCGGAGCCGCCGCCGCCGCCACCCCCGCCCGACAGCAGCTTCTTCGCAGTTGCCTCTCCAAACCGCTCCACAAGGCGGGTCTGAAAAAGGGTGCCGTACATGACGAAGATTTATCCACGTATTTGTCATTATGTTGGAGTTTAGCCCACATCTGGTTTGTTTTTTGCGGTGCGTGCGCTGCCGCTTCTAGTAAATGGTGATGGAGAGAGAGAAAAATGTAAAAAGGAATCTAAAATTTCTTCCGAAAATCAGAGCTCCGATTTTACCATACGGGGCGCCGGTCATAAGAAGTCAAAAGGACATATATACAAAGCTGCTGGCCGGAGGACCGAATCGACAAAAAGCAAAATCCACAACCCACAAAATTGACACCGACGCATCGCACATGTAAAATATTCACTTTACAATAATACGACACTGCGCACGTGCTCTTATACCCCCCCAACACGTCACCCAAACCAACCCCCTTACCACAACCCTAAGTATTTCCAAGAATCGCAACCCCTCCAAAAAGAGTACTCCTCCCCCTAAAAAAGCTCCAACCCCAACTACATACATACATACATACATACATACATACATACATACATACATACATACATACATACATACATACATACATTGAGGGACAAGGGAATAGGTGAGAGGGAACCCCGAGACGGGAGAGGGAGAGGAGAAGGACGGGGAATGGAGGCGGTCACGTCGTGCAGGGAAGAACCCTTTTTCTTCCCTAGTGCCACTCCGAGGTTGTAGGGTGCTGGAGAGCCGGGGGGAGGTGGGGTCGCTCGGACAGGGGAGGGGGGAGATGGCGGTGAGAGCGCCAAAAGGACGTAGGTTTTCTGGTGTTTGGGAGGTTGAGGTCTGGTGGTGGTAGCGGGGCTCGGATGAGGGGGAGGTGTGGCCCGAGGAGGGCCATTCTATCTAGACACGTCTTCTCTGTGGGACTGGGTTGCTTGGTGAGGGACGAAGGTGAGAGCGGTGCAGTACGAGACAGGGTGAATAGGTTTCTGGAGGACCAACCGTTCAGGTTAGTGGCGGTAAGGGGGAGGCGCCGCGCGGGCTACAATCCTCCCCCTGCGGTTTTCTGGAGGGTCTAGGAGCTGTGTGTCGTGGCAACGCTAACGCTTTGGTCGTTTCGCCGGACTATCCCGGGCCCCTGCAGTGGTGATCAGGCTTGTGCGGGATCCCTTTTCTTTATAAGGCTACTTCTCCCCTGGACCAGCCCAGGGAAGGGACAGGTGGTGGAGGTCAGTTGTTTTAAGGTGGTTGCAAGACGTCTTGTGGTGTCGAGCTCTCTTAGCCTTTCTCTCTTGGAGGTTTTTTGTTGGCCTGTTAGGTATATCAGGAGCCCTCCCCTGCCGGGACTGCCCTAACCGAATTTTTGTTTGTTTGTTTGTTTTCCCTTCGAATCCCGTTTTCGTTGGTGGTGTTTTGGGGGGTTGTTTCAGAGAGCCTTTGACTTTGCCCTAGCTGAGACTTGTGGACTCGCTCTAGCGGGACCTGAGAGCCCTTCGTGGTGTATTCAATGCAGCGCCATCCCCGGATAGAGGGGCTGCGGAGTGGCTGCGTAGAGTGTTGGCAGTCTGAGTCGGGGTCGGGAGCACACAAGACTAACCGACTTGTGCTGTGTGCTCCCGACCCTTGCGCTGTGTTTCGGCTTCGGCCCCCGGCTCTCGCGGCCCACAGTGTAATCTAAGTCATACATACAGTCGGGGTCGGGAGCACACAAGACTAACCGACTTGTGCTGTGTGCTCCCGACCCTTGCGCTGTGTTTCGGCTTCGGCCCCCGGCTCTCGCAGCCCACAGTGCAATCTAAGTCATACATACATACCTGCATAACCGCATGCGTCTTGTCCTGCTTCCTCAGCTCCCCCGGCGTCAGCTCCAACAGGTCTGGGAACCTCGTTCGGATGGGGCCCAGCAGGTGCGGGTCGGGGCGGATGGTGGTCAGGATGCGGACGCAGCTCGGCAGCAGCGACAGCTGGTGGAGGAGCAATTGGAGCACCTTGTTGTCCAGAGCAGACGGGGTGGAGGAGGAGGGGGAGGAGGAGGAGGTACTCGCGCCAGTGCAGTGGGTGGGCTGGGGGGCCTTGTCGGCTTCGTCCAAAGCGTCGAGGACCATCAGAATCTGCAGTGTTAGCCAAGTAGTAGTGTAGTAATGATATTATGTGGTAGTGTAGTAGTGTAGTGTAGTGGTGTGTAATTTTTGTTTTATCTGGAGGAAAATCAACGGAACAGACCCGTAATAAGCAGCATGTATTTGTTTTCGTAATCTGCGCCCCCGGGCAAGCACCAAACAAGCTGGTGTGTGTGCATACCCTTGCACAAAAAAACACACAAATACCCCACAATCTCCCCTGTCTCCCCCCTTCACACAAACACACACACACATACACACCTGCTGCCCCCTCGCCGCCACCGTCTGCTGCAGTGGCATCACCAGCAGCTCCCTACACGCCGTATCCGGTTGGTTCAGCTGCATGAGGGTGCCCGGGTCCAGCCCGCAGTAGTAGCGGCCCAGCTCGGGAAGGGACTGTGCCAGCTGGTAGGCCAGGGTCTTGACCACGCGCACTGGGTCCTGAGGGGGGGAAGGGGGGGGGAGGGGAGGGGGGTGTCCTATAGGTGAAAACACACACACACACAGGCACGGTGGCAGACATCCGAGACACACACACATACATACACACACGGAAGCGCGCGCGCCACGTCTGATGACTTCGTTCGCTTCGGCATTTCCAACTCGGTGCCATGCCCTTACACGAACTCACTGCCAAAACATGTACGTATTCATTCATACAGAGATACATACATACACAAACACACGGTCACTCACACGTTATCATAGCAATAACACCGGTAGAAGCGCTACCACAAAGATTACACAAGCTCCGAAACCATCTCCACCCCATTGTCGCCTTGCCGTACCTGCCGCCGCGCATCGCTGTACTTGCAAAAGTGGAAGGCATGCACCGTCACCCCGGAGCCGCCACCGCCTGTCGTACTGACCCGGTGACCCATCATGCTAGACCGACGGCGCTCCGCCGCGGCGGCGGCGGTGGGACTGGCGGTGGAGGGCCGCTCGGGTTTGGATCCCGCCGCCGCCGCCGCCGCCACCTCCGCCGCCGCCTCCGGGCCCATACACAACACGGCCGTGATGGTGGACTTGCCTAAGGTGTGTGTGTGGAGGGGTGAGAGAGGGGGGTGAGGAATCCACAATAGGAAAAAGGCAGGGGTGGGGTGGAAATTGGTTAAAGGGTTATAATGCCCCCCCAGTCGTAAACCTCCTCTTCAGCCGCCTCGCATCAAACCCCCCCGCACATCTTCCCCATCTTTCCCCCCCCCTTCAACACGCTAAAACCCGAAACACCTCGTCTTTCCCCTCCACCCCCCACTCCCCTCCCCTCCACTCCACATACATACACACACTAGACAAACTCAAACCCAAAGGTACATACACACATACACACACTGTCGTACCTGTTCCCGGCGCCGCCGTCACCACCGCCACCTGGGGCCCGTGGGGTGCCGCCAGCCACTCCGCCACCGGAGCCAGGTTCCACTGACTTGCATCCGTACCTGCCCGCGCCGCCAGGGCCATCATGTCCGGTTTGGCGTCCAGGGGCTCCAGCAGGAACCGGAGCTTTAGCTTGGCGTTGAAGGCCTTATCAAGGGGAGAGTTGGGTCGGGGTCGGGGTCGGGGGGGGAGGGGGCCGTGGGGGGGGAGAGGGGGAAAGGGGAAAAAGGGGGAGAAGGATACCATTGAAAGGTACGTCAACACGCAAGTACTGGTCATGGGGGGAGGTCGGAGGGGGAATGGTATGGGTGTGAAGATGGGGAGAGCGGGGGGCCACAGGGCGGCAGGGAGAAAGCGCGAAGAAGAAAGGCGGGGGGATCGGGGGACGCAAAAGAAAAAGAAAAACCCGTACGACATGACACGGTTCCATACAGACCCTTCCACGTTTCAGAGCAGCTCCAGTCGTACCCACCTCCGTAGAGCCGTGTTTTGCACGGATATCGTCCAAAATCATTTGCTTGTCGGACAGTACGGTAGCCTTGGCGGCATCAACGTCAATGGACCTGCAGGCAGTAGCAGTATCAGGAGCAGGAGTAGCACTAGCACTAGCAGGAATAGCAGTAGCAGGAGTAGCAGTATTAGTATTAGCAATAGCAGTAGCATTCGCAATACCAGCAGCAGTTGGAAATAGGTTTTGTTACCAATAAAGTGGTTGGTCGCTGTAACACCCCCCATAACGACAACAACCTATTCATACTACAGATCCGGATATGCGCCCCGAATGTCGTACCTGAAGATGGAGGCAATCTCCCGGATACTAAAACCCGGAGTGAGCAAAACCAGCGCATCGGCGCCCTGAAGGGATGCGTGGGGGGAAAGGGAGGGGGGGAAGAATGTGGACGGTTCGAGAGTGTGTGTGTGTGTGTGTGTGTTTTTAGCGGCTCGATGGCAGCGGGTAATGACCGGGAGTCTGAGTGCACCCGACAAACCGCCACGCGGCGCTAGCCTCCATTATCACACACCCGCCTCCCACCATCCCGCCCATCCACGCGCTCGCCTCCGCATCATACGTGGCAAAACCAGCAGGCATATACATACATACATACATATGTACATACATACATATATACATACATACGTACATACATATATACATACATACACCCACAAATCCATAACCCTAATCCCCACCACCCCGCCAGAGATGTACCTTGAGTGCCAGGGTGTTGTCAAATTCGTACAGACACCACACTCGCTCCAGGGGGGTACCCCGCGCGTCCAAACACACCAACGTGGCCTGACTCAGTGCAATTGCCGTACGGAGGTTCTCCAAGTCCTGTACGCCGTGTGTATTGGGGTTGTGTCGAGGTCCGGGGGGAAGGTGAGTAAAGGGCAAAAAAACACGATATGTTGGGGGGGGGGTGCTCAGGTAAAAGGGAATTCAAAAGGAGAACTGTGGGATTTGCTATCGGAACTTCTTTTATCGGCGCAGTGAAGATAGACTCTTCACACTACGTGCGTCGTTTCTAAGTTGTACATGTGTACGACACATACACAATCTTGTACACACAAACACAAACACACACACCGATAGCGCAATGTGTTGCTCACGTCTTTTTGCTCTGCCCCCGGGTGCTGGTTGACCGCGAATATGTCCAACCACACGCGCGTCGAGTCCAGGGCACCCTGAAGGGCGTTGAAAACATGATGGTAGTGGGGTAGGGGTAGGGGGGAGGGGGAGGGGGGAGGGGGAGGAGCGAAGGTGGGGAAACAAGGTCTCTTAGAGTTTAGGGCATGTGGAGAAATATGTATCAAATATATTATACAAATGTATATGTACATATACATGGAATCCCCGGCCGTGTTGGCCCCGTATACATGATTTGTGAAACAGGGGGGTATATCTTCGCCCGTGGCAGCTACCCTGCGAAACCCTGCCTTCCCTGGTATTTCGGGGCGCCCTCATCATCCAGTCACCCTAGCCGACTTCTCAGTGGATCGCTCAGGTTCCGCACCCACCACCAGCATCCAATGGAATCTGCCGGGTCGACAGCGGCCCAACTCCATTCCTGGTCGGCTCGCAGGTTAACTTTATCCCAGGTCACCACCATCCATCAACTAGGGGCGCAATACCTTCCCCCATCGGAAGGATTTTCGACCCTGACAGGTCTCGATCCCGGGATCTCCCGGGGGCAATGGTCGCGCGTTACCAGTAGTGCCAAACAATAGTATACATGTATGTATATCGCACCTGTAGGTGGTTAAAGAAGCAATCCAGAAGTTGCAAAAATGGCATCGACCAAGCATGGCTGATAAAGTAGTCGGGAGGTCCGACATCGGCCTCCGAAACCAGCTCGTTCAGGTTCAAATCCGTCAGACGACACGCCGAAGAAGCAGTCATGGGTTTGATGACCTCCTGAACGACCTGAGGAACGCACGTGCGTATGAATGTGAGGTTGTCCGTATCATCATAACAGGGAGGTAGTGCCGTACATATACATACATACAGACAGATAAACTGGCAGCCAAGATCCCACCTGGCTGGTACATAACGAGGCCGCGTCCTTCCGTTCCCGCAGCAGACGAGTTCGGAATCGCCGTAGAAATGCCAGTGAGACGGCACACTGTCCGGCGTTACGTCGTACCCCCATCATCTTGGCGGCTGCCACTGCCTGCCGGGAAGTGGTGTGTGTGGGGGGGAAAGGAGGGGTGTATGCCTGTGTGTGGGGGGGTTGGGGGTGTACGTGAGGGGGCCCCTGCCGGAGATACATGGGATGTGTAGGTTTGTGGGTTTGTGGGGGTGAGGGGGGGATGCTCGGGGAGGGGTTGGTCAGAGGGGGGGAAAGACGAACCACGAACGAGTGAAGCTGCTGTCAGAGGGCGGGAGGGGGGAGGTGAAGGCGGTGAAAGTACAGTCAGGTATGCGGAGGGTTTTAGATACCATACCCGCACCATCTCCCGCGCTCGCGCCCACCAATGAAGTCAGTCTGTATGTATATCCTTGTATAAGTGTGTGTTTGCGCGCGTGTGTGTATGTGTGGGGGGGGACGTTACAAGTACCTATCTGACCGGGCCTGACGACACTGGCCACAGAGGGGTGCTGCCCAGCCCCAACGGAAAGACCGCTCGCCTAAGCTCTCCCCCGCGGACGGGAGAGGGGCGCGAGTGTTTTGGGGTTGGGTAATCCTAGAGCTTCTCAGTGCCGTACGTACACACAGGCGAACACCACCTACCCCCGCCGCTGCCACCACTTCCCTACCTCTTATTACACCCATCTTTCCATTATCGTCACCCCCCCCCTCCCTCCCGCTGCTCACCTTGCCCATGTTCTGTCGGAAACGAGCGGCGCCGTCATCCCCACCGTCCCCAGAGGGTGGCTGTAGCACCGGCAGCAGCGGCAGCAGCAGTAGTTACAACAGCAGCAGTAACAACAGCGACAAAGTAACAAACAGCCATTGTTTTCATACCGCGACTAAGGGCTAAATTGCCGGTACATGGTTCGTACGGCATACAACAGGAGCAGCGGGGAAAAACAAAAGTATCAACATGATTTTTAATTGTTATTAAGAATTGCGAGTGAATCTCCGATGACGTCAAATCAAATCCATCAAATCAATTTCATAAAGCCAAAAATCGTATCATAAATTGAAAATAGGGGGATACCAGTAAAGGTAAGGAGAACGCAAGCAGACAAACAACTGACGGCGGGGGGAGGGGGGAAGTGGAAAGAGGTGCCTTTTGCAACACATCAGCATTTGGCCGTTGGCATCGCCGTACCATGCCGTACAAAACTAGTGGATTCCAGAAGTAAAAGAACACAGACACGCTAGCGAAGGGGTAGCTGGGTACCGGCGGCCAAGCTCACCTTTGGAGATGGTGGCGGTTGAGGCGTTCGTAACGGTGTCGTGTCACCGCTGGCGCCTCCGCCAGCAGCGGTGGCGGCGGCGGCGGCTGCCGCCGCTGCGGTCCTCGACGACACTCCCGC